GCCTTATCACAATACTAAAATAGAGGTTATGTAATGTAAAAATGCTTTTATTGGTGTAAGTATCTCAGATATTGGTGTGAAATAGCTTTGCTGTTTCTCACAGTTGTGGACTATCTTATCTGAATTATTACAGTGACAAGGACCAGGACACTTAAGAGAAAAATTTACTGCTGACTCTCCAGTTATTAGGAAGTGTCAAAACAATAGAATGGACCCTCCAGAAGAAATAAAATATATTGATTTAATCTACAGGATGGCATGTCAAAGGTTAAAACCAAACAAAAGAGTTCCTACTCTTTTGTAAACTCACAGGAATGTTTCAATATGTATAACCCTCACTAATAAGCATTTAACCAATGTAACGAAACATATGTAAGAAAATTGTTTGAACCTTATGGTATACTTTTGGCAGATTGTCAAGCACCCCAGCAGTGGATATTGTCCCTTTTATCTCTTATTAAACTTTTATAAAAAATTTTCAAATAGTGACCTGTTTCTAACTGTTACAATTTTGAAGTCACATTGAACTTATTATAGTTACTGGTATTTTAAACAAGGGGTACTAAGTTGTTTTCACAAGGATGCACTTGAAAATGACATGAATTCCACCAGAAGTACTTAAAATCATGGACCTTGGGAACTGCTGACATGATATCAGGACACAGAGAGTGTATCCTACCATCAGCAAGACATAAAACCTTCTTCCTTTTGCTATTTATTCCTGTTCATACATTACTAAACTTCTGCAATACTCTTGAATCATAAATGACACTGCTCTTGAGTAATAGGTTATGTAGATATATACATATACCTCTATATATACATACTTTTATATATGTATGTATCTCCAGCTAAAACTCTATTGCTAAAACAGAAACTTTATGGAGCTTCTGAGAGCCACATTTAAAAAGAAGCTGATGACCAATCATGTTACTATTTGAATACAATGGTGAATATCTCACAAAGATTCATATGAGTTAGCTATTCATGTTTAATACAAATCCAAGTGGGAAAACCAATAATGTAATACTGATGGAAGAACTGATGAAGGGGCTAAGAAGGCCTGTTCTATTGATAAAGGGGCTAGAAAGGCCTGTTATGGACAGTTCCTGATAAAAACAAGCACTGGTCCCTGGTAAGAGTAAGGACTAGTTTCCTGGAGCATCTTAAACTGGCTTTGTGGTCTGGAGAAATGCCAAGGGTCCAAGGAACATGCATGAAGAACAGAGATGAAAAGTTCAGCATGAAGAAGAGAAGCTTACTTCATCCTAAAGCCCCCAGCCCATGACCACCAGGAGGCACTACACAGGAGCAATCAAAAGGAGCTAAAGGTGGGGACTATGGAAATTACTTCCCAGGACTCATTATAATAAAACCTGCCTTTCTGGGGAAATGTTATGAATATGTATAGACTTTTCATAATTATTTTGAATATGAAATATCTTTGTGTATAAAAGTGAGGTAAATGACAACAATGGACACACACGTTTGTGGTGAAGTGATCCTCCATGCGTCCAGTGCGCTGAATAAAATACCTACTTTTCAGCCTTGTTGGTTGTGGAGTCTTTTCTCTGCATGTCAGAATTGGTTTTAGATTAACCTTTGCATTCCAACTTTAGGCAATGGGAATAACCGCAATCTGTTTTGCAGGATTACCCTGTACAGTACAAAACTTTTATTTTGACATTTCAAAAGCTACACCTTTTTTTTCCCCTGCACTCTCCAGGTGCAAATGCATTAGGACAACAGTTCCATGTTCATTTCTATAGGACTAATATTGCCTCGATTTTCCAAGGTTTTTCTTAGTGAGAGGGAAGCTAATGTCTTTACATACAATTTGATGGGTGAAGGTGTGGGTGTTAGCATCTTTGAAATGGGTCACAGTCTCTCTACTAACTTTGGGCAGCAGGTTTGTTGCAGAGCCCAGACTGCTTGGCTCCTGTGAAAAATGTCAATCGCTTGTTTTTAATTTTTTTTTTTAAGTTTAATAGTAATAAAATGGTTATAAAAATAGTAGTATAATTAGAGTAATAATAATTTGGACAATTTGAATTAGAACAATATGAGACAATAGAAACAAAGAGTTATGGACATCCGGGTACCTTTTTCTGGACAGCACAAGCCCGAAAAAGGACACCTGTTAACCCTTAAAAACAATAGCCTGTTGCATATTCATACACTTCATACATGATGCATAAATTCCATTCAAACATAGGATTCTGTCTGGTCATCATCAACTTCTTCCTCCGAATCCTAACAGCGCCTTCGAGGTGGGAAGAAGTTCATTTCTTCTGATAAGAGGGCAATAAATTCTTTTTCTCTGAAAGATGTAGGTGTCCTGTGGCTGCTATCTCACTGCGAGTCCTTTCTTTAAAAAAAGTATCCTACATAACATAGATTCTATTTTAACATTTCCTATAACCTAAAACTATACTTAACACACTACTGAAGAGAATTAATACAGCACTACTTTCTAACACAACACATATAATATTCATTTAATATTTGCAAAAAGGCAATTATAAAATATACATTTTTCACACTCCTGGGACAGACAAGGGTCTGCACAAGCCTGAAATTCTGATCTTTGGGGTAAAATGACAGTAGATTCAACGGGGGGATACGTGGTAGGTGGTTCCTAAGGTGGTACCTTCCTAGTACCTCAGCAATGGGGAAAGGAAGAGGGCAACATATAGCTGAGAGTTTGGAATAAAATGAGGCTGCGCCCTCTGAAATTTCAAGAGAAAAAATCCCGAGGCCATGTGCCCCTGTGGAGTCTCCCCCTTTATTCGAAAAAAAGTTGAAGGACTCCCCTTTTTGGACATAAACCTCTGGTGTTCGTAGAATATTCCTGACTAGTCAGGACACACCTCTGGCTGATTACATCATTCCGATTTCGCCGCTAACTCTTCTCCCCTGCCATGTCAGTAGCTGCACCTTTTCCACAACTACTTCCGCATTCTCTTGCCACCCACCTTTGCCTTCTGCTAGCGCGGTAAAGCAATGCTAAAAATCAATCTGATCATTTCCTTATAACCACTGCTGCCCGGCGGACAAAATGGCTGCTTGCCCTTTAACCCTGTGTATCGACCCAACCCATCCAGCAGCGGCGCTCGGGGAACGACTGGCAATTTCCTCCGGGAACACGCTGCGTCTCAAGCCCGGCGCCCGCCTGAAAGGCCGGGCGTGGCAATCGCGGTCGGCTCGGCCCCTTTCGGCCCTGCTCCGTCTCTCTCGGGCTCGCACTGGAGCGGGCCTTCCTCCGCAGCGCTGCCGGGCGCGGTGGGAGCGGCACAGGGCCTGGCCGCCCGCGGAGGCTGCGCACGGTAACGTGGCCCCGCTGTTGAGGTCGGGTCGCGGCCCTGAGGAAGTGAGTGGAGCGGGACCTGAGGAAGTAGAAGCTGTCGATGCGTTGCGCAGCGGTCACGGCAGCAGTGTCTGTGTGTGCGTGTGCGTGCGTGCATATGTGCGTGTGTCTGTCTGTCTATCTCTCTGTATCTATGTGCCTGTGTGCTTTTGGTTTAGAAACCTTGATGTATTGTTTTCACACTCAGAATCTTCGTTTCCACAGTGAAATCTTCTGGTCCTCAATCCTCTTTAAAATTGGTTTTGATTGTTAAGGTAAAGTTTCACAATGTTTGGAGATGGGTGGGACGAAGATTTGGAATAATAATATCACACCAATCATAAGAATTTCTTGTATCTGTATTTTTGGTAATAATACTGATTTTACAGGATTAAAGTTCAATCTTTTGCTTAAATCGTCTTAGTAGTGGGAGGTATGCTCTCTGGCACTTTTATTTTCTTTTTTTTAATCTTAGAAGGCACAATGACTGACTTTGAAAAGAGCCTGCATCAGGACATGGTTTCTCAGCTGCATGACTTTGCTGCTGCTGGTGACACAGCCGGGCTGAAAGTGCTGCTCAGGCGCTCACCATCACTGGTCAATGCAGCCACAGGGAATGGCTGGACAGCCCTCATGTACGGTGCTAGAAATGGACACCTTGAGGTTGTGCAGGTTCTTCTTCAAGAGGGGTAAGCTGTTTAGTAGAACCTATTCAAGAGCTCTGTTTTGCACCCCCTTTTCGCCCCTATCAGTTTTGTCTCAGAAGTAAATTTACCAGACAGATAATGGCAGAATTTTCAGGGATAAAACTCAGGAAAATTTATTCTGTGTCATTTTATAACTGGGTTCTGCTATTGCATCATACTTTTTATTTTTGCTAAGAAAGTCTAAAACTTATAAGCATCTCTAAAGTTACTCCTTTGATATTCAAGGATATGTTGTCACTTTTCACAGAGGCCAACAGAATAGAACAGAGTTTGCACCCTAATTTCAACTGCTGTATGATAAATTGGATGTATTTGATCAGTCCACTTAAATTTTTTCTCTAAACTTGATTTGTAAGCCACTTGAATCTTTGTTAGTGTAGAATGTTTGCTGACTCTTCAGTAGGACATCACAGACTCACCTTTTCCAAAATTACTCCAAATGGAAAATGCTTTAAAACTAAGTTAAAATCAAATGCATTTAACTGAGTTTAACATTAATCAAGCCCAGGCTGTTCCGTTCTGAACTCCTACTTACAGAAAAAAGGAAGTTTACTTCATTCTGTAGTTAATGACTAACTTCAGGCATAGCATTCCACATCCTCCAGTAATCATCCCACCCACTCTTGATTTTTTTTCAGTCATAGCCAAGGCCTGTAGCCTCTGCTGGGGCTCAGAGTGGGGCATTAGATGAACCACTGGTTTCTACTATAATCGGTACATTCCAGTATGTAGAGAGTATCTTAGTGCAAGATTTTGGGTATTGAGGAATCTTTTGTGATGCTGGGAAATTTATCAGTTTGTAAATAGGATTATCAGTTTTTTTATCTTAAGCTTTTCTTAATAAAATAAAAGGTAAATATCACTTTTAAATGTCCTTTTCGTGGTTGCTCTGTTAGGCAATTGAATAAGTTCATGAAATGATGCTGTACCCTCATTGCTCTTCTTTTAGTTAATGCTTAGAATAATTATTTTGACAATTATAGTTGCTGGTTATACAAACATGAATGTCTATGAAGAAAATATTTCATAACATTACAGACAATAATTCTAGAAATCTAGTCAGTTGCATTTTTGTCACAGAACTGTAGCATCATAGAATGTCCTAAGTTGAAAGAGACCCACAAGGATTAAATCCAACTCATAGTCCTGCACAGCACTGTCTCCAAGGATCACACCGTGTGCCTGAGAGCTTTGTCGAAACACTTCTTGAGCTCTGTCAGCCATGGTCCTGTGATCACTGCCATGGGGAGCCTCTTCTAGTGCCCAGCTACCCTCTGGATAAAGAACATTTTCCTGATAGCCAACCTAATACTCTCCTGAGAGAGATTAATTTCATTCCCGTAAGTCCTGTTACTGGTCATGCGAAGAGTTGCTTTAGCAGCAAAAACTTGTAATTTAAGTTTTGAGTAGTTTTCTAAACAGTATACTCAAATTCCCTCAAAAACTACTGAGTTTAATATAAAATCTCAAAATGGTCTTGCCTGTGGTACAGTTAACTGTGTATCAGCAACATTAATAATACTGGCATCTTCTGGTATTAAAAACTGATGAGTCTAGTATTTATTACATAATTTGTAATTTACAGTGACATTTCTGTTTTACTTACCAATTTAAGATTAGCAAATAATTAAATTGTATTATTTTAACCTCCCAGTCAGCCTCAACCTATTTAAAGTTTGGGTTTCTTTTTGGTTTTAGTATTTAAATGTATGTGATGAGGCAACATATCCCTTACCTGTTTCACTTTACAGACATCTGGGTGACTAAAAATCCCTACAGGAACCAGCTTCTGTCACTAAGGAGAGGGTGTATTCTTGATTCTAATTTTATGGTAAATTATCCAATATCCTGAGTTAGAAGGGACCACAAGGATCAACTCCTGCAGCTGTGCAGGTCATCCCAAGAATCCCGCCATGTGCCCATGTTTGAGAGCGTTGTCTAAACATTCCTTGAAGTCCGGCTTTGTGTCCTGTCACTGGTCATCAGAGTGAAAAGATTAGTATCTGCACCTCTGCTTGCCCTTGTGAGGATGTTGGACACCCCAGTAAGGTCTGTCCTCAGTCTTCTTTTTTCCAGGCTGAACAAGCCAATTAACCTCAATAAAATATTTTATTGTAAATGTTTTGTTGCTGCTTCCAGTAGCTTCTAGAAGGTAATGCTTGTTAGGCTTCTTTTTTTTTCTTTTTTTTTCCCCTTTTGATTACTGATTATGAGGAGCAGACCTATAGCCTGACTTTTAAAGCTCTGGTTTTGAGCCTTTTTTTTAATGATACAGTATGTGGAATTTTAATAAATTCATTGCCTTTGTACTACTTCATGAATTTTGGTGAATGATAATCTGGAGAGGATCAACAAGAAGGGATCAACAAAAATGTGAAATACAGCCTTGGCAAAGGAAGAAGTAAATTATATTTTATTACCATGATGCTAAACATTTTGCCTAAAGATTATCCCAGTATTGACAGAGTGTCTAGAAGTTCTTGTACCTTAATAGTGTCAGATATGTATGCTGTAAGAATAATACAGCAACAGGACCCTTCCTAAACATATTTATTCTGGTAACCTCAGCTCTTTTCTGTTTATTCAGGTGTGACAGATCCATCGTTAATAAATCAAGGCAGACAGCTCTGGACATTGCTAAATTTTGGGGGTACAAACACATAGCTAATTTGTTGGCTAATGTGAAAGGTGATCAGAAACCTAGTTGTTTGTCAAATGATGTGAAAGAATATGAAAATTATTTTGGCATGACACTTCTGGACAGACGGAGTGATAAAAGAACAGATTCTAAGTGGCTAAGTAAAAAACAAAGCCATCCAGCTACAGTGTACATCCTCTTCTCAAATCTAAGTCCCTTGGTTACTTTGGGTGGGGGAAGAGAGAGCTCGCAGCAACCAGAAGTAAAGCTTTGCAGGTTGTGCCACAAGGATGTGGAACTGTGCATGAACCAAACTGAAGAATGTACCTTGATTTTTCTTGGAGTGGACCTTAAGTTTGATATGAACCTGATGGCTGCTTGCAGTGGAAGAGTTCAGCAAGAAGATGAAGATGGGTTAGTTGCTTGGTTTGCTCTTAGCATAGATTCTGCTTCTGCTGAAAAATTTAAACAGAAGCATGAGGACTGTTACTTTCTTCACCCACCGATGCCAGCGCTACTGCAGTTACCTGAAAAAGAAGCTGGTAAGGTGCATAAAATGCAGCAAGTACAAGATGCATAATCAGAAAGATTCCTTTTGGTATTTCCTGAGGTATTAATTCAAAGAAAAGACAAAACACTGCAAAGAAATTGTGTTTTCAGTGGTCTTAGAAATATTTTGATTTTAAAAGCCTGGTAGTTTTGTGAAGAATTTTGTATGTAAGAACATTTGCATTTGCAAAGGACTGATTTCTGCAATGACAGTATTAGACTGTAAAACCTATTGATCATCATGGGTTTTAAACGGTACTATTTAACTATTAATGCACGAACATTGTAAACATAAAGGGAAAAAAGCTGTCATTACCGAGTTTTCAGTAATGAAATTGTTAATTAAAATTAATAATTATGAAATTATTAATTACAGGAAATGAGAACCTAAGTCCTTCATAACAGTGTGTTGGATACTCATTTGACAAGAAAGTGTTGAAAATTTAGGATACCAAAGTGAATTTGTGTTAGTAAGGACATTAACAATAAATGTTGTTAATGACTGCTATTGTAACAGTTATGTTTTTACATAAGGATAAAGAAAAGCTCAACTTGAACCTTAAGTTTAAATGGAACAATGCATTATTATGTCAATACTTGTAGTAGCCCTAAAATGGTCATCTGAAGAAGACTTGATACATGTAATTTTGGCAGTTTGCCTACACAAAGAGACTTCTGTGAGAAACAGGGTATATTGATCTGGATGAATTTGTTCCTGAATATGTGTAAATTGCCCTGTAGCTCTTTAATACTATGTTCTGTTGTGTTTGCTGTGCTGCAAAGAAAAAGGTCTGCATAACTCATTTTGCTCAACTTCTCCTGTAGCCATAATTATGATTCAAACCACACTCTGATTTTTTGTGTTAAAACTCAGTATTTGATTTTTTTTTAAAAAACCTTAACATGAATTAGTATTTGATTTTGTGCACTCTCAATGTATTGTTTTAAAGGAGTAATAGCCCAGGCGAGATCTATTCTAGCATGGCACCAGCGTTACCGATTCTGTCCAACATGTGGGAGTGCAACCAAGATTGAAGAAGGGGGTTACAAGAAAACTTGCTTAAAAGAAGGTTGTCCCAGTCTCCAAGGAGTTCACAACACATCATATCCAAGAGTTGGTAAGAATATTCACTGAGAAGTGGCTTGCTTTTAAATCATTTGCTTGTAAATTGCTATGCATGTATATCAATTTATTTCTAGTTATTTCAGCTGCTTACTTCTGTTCTAGGTCTTCCATACTTGTTTCTCCACAGGCTGTGTGTGTCTCAGCTCTGTTTAGGATTAAGTAGGATTCTCTTTCTTTCAGTAGTCTGTGATACAGAATTGCTGTGAAAATGCAAACCTTATTTCAACAACTAATATCAGTTAGAAGTTACAAGAGTATAAATGAGAATTGGCAGTATAAAGGGTCACATTTTACTTTTTTTCTTAAAACTAGATGACAGTAAAAAGGGGAAAAGATCACAAGTTGATAGGGCTGCTTAGACCAATAGGAGAAAATATTATGTTAGTAATATTTTAAAGTTTTACTAGTTGGAAAGAAAAAGATACAATGACCAGAAGTGAGAAAATTTGTCAAAGTGCAACATCATATGAGAAACCGATAGCAAAGAGTAAATGAAATCAAAGGTGGAAAGTAGTCAGTAGTTAGTCAGTATTTATGTTGTCAGCAAAGTGTCTAGTTATTTGGTGTTTAGTCAAAAAGACATTCCTCAGACCTCTGTGGTGAAGAGACGATGATAAACGAGTTTGTTGCAGAAACTGTTGGTATATGCTGGATGCACAGGTTAGTATTGCTGATTAGTACTGACTCTTAGCAAATTGTGTCCTTTGGTTACAGGTAATTTCTGTCCTGCATTTCAAGCCTTGGTTAGTAAGCTGCTTCTATTAAGCATGTATGTTGCACAACCATATAAAGAGGTATCTTGCATGGAGGGTAACCCCAAAGTGAAATGAAATAACAGCTTACTCTGGGTACAGACACAGTTATGATTTCAATATAATTTTTGCCCTTATATGCATTGGTATGGAATAGACTAGAAGTTTTTACTGCATTAAGTCTCTCAAATGTTGAAATATATTAATTTCATGTCCTTTCCAGATCCTGTTGTGATAATGCAAGTCATCCATCCAGATGGCAACCATTGCCTTTTAGGTAGGCAGAGGAGATTTCCCCCAGGAATGTTTACCTGCCTTGCCGGATTTGTAGAACCTGGTGAGTAATTTTGTTTTCCTTTATCAAATGTATTTTCTCAATGAAAGTATTATACCTTTACAATTACAGAGAACTATAATTTGTGTTATCTCAAATTGAAGTTTTTTTGCTTCCTGATAGATGAGTTGTTACAATGAATATACCCATTCTGTACTTTGCAGCTGTTGATTTATTTAAAAAAAAGCAAAGAGCAACTTGAGTAAATAAAAATACTGAACAGTTTTCAAATCATGTAGTCTTAAATCACTACTTAAAATAAAAAAAAAAATTATTTTAAAACATGTCACCTTGGCCGGTGATACTTTAGGCAAAGGATTTTAGCATAGGAAAAGTAAGTGTTAAAGTCTAAGTTAAAGCTAACATGAAGTTAAGCATATACTTACATGTTTAGGGCCTGATTGATTCTGTGAAAGATAAGTAGACATTCCATAATTCTGAAAGAAAGATAAAGAGATTCTTCAATAGCTATGTCAAGCAATAATAGTTGAAATTAGTTACAATTATAAGTACCTGCAGATCAACTTGCAAAATATTCTGTATTGTGAATAGATCTTCATCACCAGTGAAATTATAGTGAATAAATATATTCAGTAAACATGTGCAGGTTGACATACAGTGACAGCATGGACAAGTTTATTCAGGTATCATTTGAAAGAAGTCAAGATATTTATTTCTGATGGATGGACATGATTCCTTTAATGAACCTGTAAGCAGCAGTTACAGCACAGTGCATGTGTGCCTATGTAGGCTAGTGACCATCAGCATTCCGCACACATGCATCTACAGTTTTCTATGGATATGGAAGCAGAGCTTTCCATTGCAGTTTCAATTTACAGTATTGTCTGCATGTATTAAGACAATGAAGAATGAGTCAGGCAAAGGGAATAATACAACACAGAAATGTTAGCAAGTATTCTAAATCTCTGTTTTCTTACTATTGTAATTCTAAATACTGATTTTTCAAGTTGTAGTACATGCTGTTGCAATCATACTGAAAATCCAGAAATTAACACAGTGCTAGTTACAAATGAATGTTTCAAGAATAATTATAGGAATTATGTATTTTCTACTCAATTTTTGACATTTTAGATATAGTGATAATGGTTTATGTGCATAAGGAATTATCAATTCAGAAAATAAATATTATTGTGGAGAAATTACTACACTTTATTTTCAAAGTTCCATTTTGCTTTTTTGGCTGTTTTACCTTATTGGACTTTTGTGTCTTGTGCTGAGGTCTTTGCCCTGATCTGTGAACTAATCTTTATAGATAATTGCCTTGGGCAGTTCCAAATCTTTTGAGTCAGTTCAAAGCACAGCATGTGATCATTGCTTGGAGTATTTTCATGAGCTGCTTGTTCTTTGCCCTTTTTGATAAGGTGAAACCATAGAAAATGCTGTTCGAAGAGAAGTAGAGGAGGAGACTGGAGTCAAAGTTGCCCATGTTCAGTACATATCTTGTCAGCCGTGGCCAATGCCTTCTTCCCTCATGATTGGCTGCTTAGCTGTTGCAGTGTCCACAGAAATTAGAGTTGACAAGAATGAAATAGAGGATGCCCGCTGGTTCACTAGAGAACAGGTGAAGTTCAATTTCATTTTCTTCTTCTATTGATTAGTCTGTGACTGTATTGGTTCTGGCATACAACAGACACTTGCTTTTTCAGCAAGTCAAATAAGCATGTGTACTCTTCATTTTATCATACAGCAGAGCTCAGATTAGTGGAGTAGGGGTGCCTTAGGGCTGGGATTAGTGGAGTAGGGGTGCCTTCTAGCAGGAGGTGGCCTAGTGAGGCAGAGGGTTGGTTTTGCAGTCCTGTTAGGAGGGTGGCTAGTCATAGGGGGAAAGCCAGGGCTAAGTTTATAGATAATTGGGTGGTTGGGGTACATGTGTAAGGCAATAGGCCTAGAAGATTAATGAGTAGGAAAGAAGATTATGAGGGATGTTAAAATTAGGGCTCATTTGTGTCCTTTTCTGTCTAGGGGTATTATTAGTTGTTTTGTGACTAGGTTGATAAATCATAGTTGGAGGGTTGAGAGGCAATATATTGGCGTAGGTTAGACACAACCAGAAAAAGATAGGTATTCACAGTAATGTCTGAGTTACTTTCATGTTCATTTTATGAGGTTTTTGCCAGTTTGCTCTTCACCTTTCCCTTCTGTGAGATAGTCAAGTTATTTTAACCCGTGTCCTTAGCAAGCCTGTGCTTTTCATGCAGTAGTAGTATTTAATAGCATTATTCATTACAGTTTCTCAAACCAGGCATGCTACCAGATATGCTGTGAGGGTGGAAGTTAAAGTAAGGACTCTGGGAATTAATTAGATTGAATATCTTTTTTTTCATGCAGTACTATTTTAATACTCTGTTATTAAATGCAGCTTACTGTGCATTAATAAGAAATCCTACACTTAGCTTCCATCAGTAGTTAAAATACAGTCAAATAAAAGTGAGGCAGAAAAGACTTTCACAGAAATATTTCAGTTCATGAGTAGAAGGAAAGGTTGCTTGCACAACTTAGTTTTCACAGGTTTTCCTATAGACAACTTAGAAGCTAAGCTTTTAATAACACTGGACATCTGCCTAGCTGTTCAAAGCATTTTGACTGCAAGTCACCTTGAAGGCAAAGTTAATCACGTACAATCTCAGTGTGTTTCTGTTAACACTGGGAGCATTATTTTAAAGGAATATCAGTTCTGAATACAACTAGTTGCATGCAGATTGGCATACAGCTGGAAATAAGCTTCAAAAATGTGATGAAAGTGAATTCACATGTTACTTGCAACTTCTTCAGATGACCAAGAAAACACATCTCCATGGCACTACATGTAAACATTAAAAAAATATTTTTGTCACAGTGTAGAGCACCATCTGGTGGTCCTTGCCATAAAAAAGCTTCGCAGAAACCTTAAATAATATATTAGTGGTCTCCACAGTTCTGTTAGGAAGAAGGTATCCTTTGGAGCATATTAGGCTCAAAAATGTCATAATTCACACAATGTTGGACTTTCTCTGCATTTACCTTGGAGAATCTCTTAGTAGCTCTTTAATAGGTATAGCAGTAGCAGACTGATGGATCATTATAGGAAGATAATTTCTGTATTAATACAATGTTAGATTCTGTATAGTTTATAATGCTATCTTCTAAAGTTAAAAAGTCTGCTTTTATTGCAGGTCGTGGAAGTTCTCATTAAAGGAAACCAGCGTTCTTTCTTTGTACCACCAAGTCGAGCTATTGCACACCAGTTGATGAAACATTGGATTGGAATGAATGCTAATCTTTAGTTCAAATAATTGATTTCTTTAAGTTACTTCTTCTACTGAATGCTTAATTAGGAACAAATTAGAACTTTTTGTCTAGTGAATGTGTAACCAAGTGATTTTCTGAGCCTTTACGTTGGTTCCAGAGCTAAACCATGCAATCTTTGTAGGTGTTTTCAGACCTGAATTAGATTTGGACAAAACCCAATAATTATCTCAAGCAAGCAAGCACCAAATAAGTAGAATTGGTACCTTGTTGAGTACAGGCTGTGTTTCTTGTTCTAGAATGAAATTATTATGCCTTTTTCTTTACACTTTTTATGTTTGATTTGGTCTTCCCCCACTGGAAGGATTCACAGCATTACAAAGAGGGCTGTCTGACCTTGCCTGCTCTTTGAATTCTCTACTTACATCTCCTCTTTGGCCTTAATTGTTTCTTTCTCATTTTTGCTTATCTCCATTTTTTAAATTTGACCTGTCGCAAAAATCTACATTCAGTGCTGAAAGCCTTACCCAAGTATGGTTATTTTAAAGTCAGTAGCATATGTAACTAGTGAAACTATGTAACTAGTGAAAGCATATGTAGCTATGTGGTACTTCGTATCTTTTACTTTAATAATTTATGTTAATGCTCAAAGCAGAGCATTTACTCGTACATTCTGACTTGGCCTGCACTTATCCAATTGTATGTCAGCCTGAATTTAAAGGTATAACACAATACTTTGTTTTTGAAAAAGGTGTTGGAGAACCATCCCTGAAAGCCTAAGTATTAGTGTTTTCATAAGATAATAATGTACTTATTGATGCTAGGCAGTGAGTAATTTCATTCTCTGATAATTAGAAATGAAATTACAGAATAATGGAGAAGGAGGAACAAGACGTATCTCAAAATATGCACAAAGTTCATTATGGAAATAGAGATGCCAAGATTGTTACTGCTATTAAGAATCTTATATTTGAAAGAAGTATATTAACTGCAGCTATAAGACTGCAGGGATATGTTAATTAAAATATGTATTTATGTGGTTTTAATGCTACAGTTCAGATTTGTGCCTTAATTTATCAAGTTATTTAAGATTGTGTTGATGTTCTAAAAAGAGAAGTATACTGGTTTAATATTTATTTCATTGTGTAATAGTACTCTGTCATTCTGCAGTCATTGCAGTGATATCAAAAGAAATGCAAATGACCTGAAGAAGTTGTAGTGACAAATGTAAACTTATTATTTTGTGATTTGTTTATTTGGAGTAATTTGTTTTTAACAGTGAATGGTGTCACATTTTTTTCCAAAATTCTCAGGAACCTGGAATCAGTAAAACTGTTGTACAAATTCTGATTGTACTTTGTTTTCCCCATCCATGTCACACTATGCTCAGCAGTTTTCATGGGTTTTTTTGTAAGGCAGTACCTAAGAAACTTTAAAGCAAGAAGCCTTCCTGACAGATTTGGAGTATTTGACATGTTATGTTGCTTCATTCTCTTCCTTGTTTTAGCCATATGTAAAAATAAATACAGGCTATTTCTTGTCTGTCAAGGAGAAGGAAACAATACAGTCCTTCCCTTAAAAATTGCTTTTACAGAGAAAGCGAGTTATGGAAAGCTGTCGTAGGGCACATGTACCAGCAAGACTGTATGGTACCAATGGCAATTATCAGTTGCAGGTTGCTCATAGAGTAAAGGAAAGTATGTTGGAAAGTATATTGGAAAGTATGCAAAAAGTGGTGGAAGCTGAGCAGTGAAAGGAAGTTTCAACTAGTGCTGTGGTGATTACATTTGGAGAGATGAACAAGGGAGTGAGGAGCCAGATGGTAGAAGAAGGATAAAGTGTAGAGCAAATATAGGTAGCATAAAAATAAGTAGTTTGTGGCTTTGAGGTAGCTAAATGTACATGACTAAGACCCATAGGAATACTTTTAAAACTATTGGAATAGTTTTTTTGTAGAAAATTATGGTGAGTGGCTATAGAGATGTGCTTCTAAAAGTGAAACTCCAAACACAGTATCCCTAATTAAAACTGATGTTAGTAATCTGCCTAATTTTTTTTTTTGAGGATCTGTATACCAGTATATATGTGCAGTTACAATGCTAATAAGTAAATCAAAAATGTACACTTTTATGTATGAAGAAAACCAGAAAAATATGACAAAAGGAACAACACTTAAATAATCTCTGATTTTGAGAGTAATCTTTTAATGATCTTTCAGGTTTAATAATTTAGGTATGTCAACGATTTTTAGTCTTTATAGATATTCAAAATCTAAGCCAAGCTTTTGAAAAAGGTTTTGAAGCTTTCTTTTCCTTTTTCCCTTAGCAAGAGAACAATTCCATTTGCAGGGAAGAAGACAAATCTAAGAAAGCTAGTTAGATAAATTTAATCCATTTAAGGAAAGATTTTTCCTGGCATTTTATTGCTTAACTTTCCCTATTTGCAGGTCAGGGTTTAAATTTATTTCAAAATTACCTATACATTTTAAGGACAGTTACTGTTTCCAGTTTACACAGGAAATGTCAAATTGAAGAACCAAATGCTCTGGTTATCTGGCAACTACAGCAGTTCAGGAAAGTGCCAAATTAAATTTAGAAACAGTTGAAGAGAGTGTAGTGGTTCTGACTGGAGTATTGTATGGGCAACACCTCCAGAAGATCTCAGTAGTTCAACTTCAAAAGACAGCAGCAGCTTTTAAAGCAGGCTGTTTCTTGCCACAAAGTTAATGCAGTAGATTAAGAGAATAGTGTTACTTACTAAAAAGAGTGTTTTTTTTCTATGCTGTGAGTAATTATCTATCACTTTTTTCCCTTTCTTGTACAAGGATATCAGACCATAAATAGTACTCATGATGTCAAATGTACAAGGCAGAAAATTCTGGAGATGCCTTTTATCCCAGTTTGCCTGTGTACTAAAGAGAACTACCTTCTATGCAATATATAATTTGAAAATATTATGTATTTTATCTGTTTTTATAATAATTTACAGATAATAGAAATAATAGCTTAATAAAGCAGGAAAAGATAATTAGGTCTTTGAACACAAACCAAAACTGATACTTCTAATGAAACTGAAATCTCATGCAATGTAATGACATTTAATGTAAGTATAATACTGATGATGATATTTTTACGAACTTTGCATTTGTCCTAATAAACATACTTCTTTAAACTCATTTTTCATTCTAGATGTATGTAAACACATGAAAAGTAGAATCATTCCAGTATTGATTCTATAATTTGAACATTATGTTTTCTACAGGAGCATTGACAAGTCAGTTCTTGCCAATTAACTGATTACTGATTGAAGTCTGATTATGTTGAAATCTGCAAGATGTGAGGGAAAAATGGGTGGATGTTAAGAGGCTGATTAAAGGTAGACCAGTCATGATGCTTCATGGAATTAAATATACTAATCAGATTCTGAGCTTAGCAGACAGAAATAGAAAAAGAAGTGGAACAAGGCTGTGAACATTGCTCCCTCTTTTATCTTTAATTTTAATTAGGTAATCTGATTGATTAAGACTTTTCAGACGGAGCTGGCATTTTGTAGCTGCTGGATAATTTAGTTGTTATTTTATTATCTGCTTTATCTGTAAAGAGTTAAATAAGTGGTAGTCCTTTATTGCTTCATTGATTTGAAGGATATGTATATACTGTATATCATTGCTGACTGGGTTTGATGGTACTTATGGGGGTAAGTCTAAAGAAAAAAAATTGAACTTGTTATCCTATTAAGCCTTAGTAAGACAGCCAACCCATCCTTCATGAGCTTAGAAAAGCAAACTGTTCACAGTCCGTAACAGCAAGCATCTGAGGAAAATGAATATTGGCTTATGGCAATGGTAAGTATAAACCTTTTTCTGGTAAATTAGACTGTTTTAATTAGTATTCTGTAGCTACTAATTGTTACAATTCATCATAAATTTTGTTAAATAGAAATTCTGCAGATTTTTTTCACAGTAAAGAAATATGACTTTTTTCCTAAGTGATAGATTTTTAAGATGGATATTTGATTCCTAAATCTGTATTGGTTATCTTATTTTAGCATATAAGTACTATAAGTTTAGTGTTATTATATACTATTAGGTATATAATTTTGAAAATTAAAGCCTACTTGTATGAACTTGTATAAATTTGTTAGAAGTATTGCCTTTCTGCAACCAACATTTCACACTGGAATATGAGGAGTGCTATGATAAGACTACAGAATTAGTAGTCAAGAAGGAATATTGAGAGTTGAGTTGAGAGAAGAGGATCCTGTTGAGTGGAGAAGCTTACATTATAATTTTTCAGCACTTAAGTAAACCTGGATAGTAATTTTTTTCCTCCTACCATTTCATCATCCTGCAAACTAGTCTAGCTTTGGTAAAGTACATCTCTATTTCTTTCCAAGGAGAGAAGCATTCTAATGTTCAGCTAAGAAGTGTAGGTATTTTCTCAAGACTTCTGTCAAAGCTAAAAAAGAGTGTATGAAATAAGCGTCTCAAATTCTTTTGTCACTCTAAGTCTAAATTGCTCCTTACTTACTTTGTATGAATTGCTCAGGTGGAGAAAGTGACCCTGGAAACTGCATGGTCAGGAAATACGGTTCCCATTTCAGACACCAGAAATCAAATCCTAGAAGTTAGGATAGGGTGACAGATTTTGCCCATATTGCATTCTATGAACAATGGAATTTTTTTTTTTCATCTATAACAGTAATTTATATTTTATACTCCCAGACATTTTGAAAATAAAAAACTACCTCATTTTCAGGTAAAATTTTTATAGTGTGCAATTACTCTGCAGGGTTTTTCTGGGGGGCTGAGTTTCAATTATAAGCAAATACTTTGAATTTACCTGGTTTCAGTTAAGAGGGACAAGGAATTCTGAAGCTCACATAAATTGGATTAATTTATTTGAAAAAGAATTGAGAAGGAAATTTATTTGAGAATGATTGAGAAAGAATTGTAGTATTACATGACAGTAATTTCTTTCAGTATAGAAACTCCATTTCATTTTTGGAAATGGTTGTTATGGTTGCTATAGATGTCATTGTTAATGTATGTTATAGTGAGATTTCTACTAGTTTCGTTATCAATTGTTGCATCACATCTGTAGGGTATTTCTGATACCTGCTGTCATTTTTGGTACTGACAAAGCATGAATTCCATAGATAACCCTCTGAATATCAGAATGACAAACTCACTGACATGAACAGGCTAATCCAGCTGATACTCAGTAGTATCGGCTGATACTTTAGGAGGTTTTCCTTTGGTCTCTAAAACAGAAATAAAAGATGTCCAACAATGTAAACAGAAATGGAAGTTTATATGATTTTTAAAACACATTTTCAGAGCTTTTGATTAAGGAAAATTATTTTATGCAGTAGAAAAGAGAGGTCCTGCACAGCAAATTCTGTTCTCTGTTTTTAAATATGTTTTTACTTATATGATAATAAATACATGAACATCCATTGTAGTAAAGTGTAGAATAATAATTATTTAGTAATTGTGTTAAAATCATGGTGGAATGTTTTATAGACCATTTACAGCACAGAGGCTACCTACTAGTCTGTTGTAGTGTATGGCAGTGCACATTTTTGAATGAAGGTAATTATGAAAAATGCTGCTGCAGAAATTAAGTATCTCCAACATCTAAAATAAATGTTTATCTTTGTTAATACATTATTGTCTTCTGTTGCAAAAGCTCAAAATAATTAACCAAAAAGCAGAATTACTTAATAAGTAGACAGGAGCTTTACAGGACATGAGTTTTACATATGATTTAGCAGAATTAAAAAAAAACCAAACAACTGACTTCACTTCTCTCTAAAAAAGCAGAAATACCTGTGTATATACAGCCCATGATTGCTAATCTGTATTTCACTGCAACTTTGCTGGTACCTGCATTCTTAGTGCTGAGTTAAAATAATCTTGAAAACATTTGACTGACTGCAATTGTAGTAGCATTTTTTCAATCCAAAGTGAGGTGTCTGCAGGGAGATAGCTTTAATATGTTGTAGAGAATAATATAACTATTATTTCTTTTCAAAAGATTGGTCAAAATCTATTCAACAATTCATATTGTGTCCATTTCTGCTTGTAGAAAAGTCAAAAATAATGCAAAATCTAATTACACAGGGTTTGGGTTTCCTAAATATGTGGATTTATGGCATATGTGATAGTTTTAGTTGTTTAGACAGTAACCTTCCATCTGAATCAGAACCAAAGACATACTGACTGGTGTTTGCAATCTTTTTGTGGTCTGGAAAAAAAAAGTGCCACGGTAGCAGTGAGGAACAAGTGACATGAACCCCCTTATGCATCAGAAGGAGATCCCTTTATTGTAAAAAAATCACACCCTTTTTATGCCTTTAATCTCTACCTGACGTGACTGAAACCAAACTGAGACTTAACAGAAAGAAGGCACCCACTGGCTGCCTCAGCTGCAGTGCTGCTGTCCATGCGTCCTATCATCTAATCAGCTTCTTGCTCATAAACTGTCCATGTGTTCATACAGCCAATCACGATCTCACTTCTAGCTGACTCTTTCCTCACTCATAACTGCCTCTCACCTCTCAAGCGACTTCCAACTGTCCAACTTGCAGCTGTGCCTTTCCCATGGGGCCTTCTGATGAGCATAAGCCTTAGCAACTTTAATAATTATAACCCCATAATAATATATAACCCCATAAAATCTTTTATTTTTTATTAAGCAAGAAAAATGTACTAGGAAAAACCTAAACAACTCCTAAGACATTAATAACAGGGAAAACAATAATAAATATTACAACTTTTCAAAAACTGCAACATAGGCTTATAACATAGTGACTATATATATACATTAATTCAGGATGCTGTGACAAAAGGCCACACACACCATGATGGAATCCACTGCACATGATGGCCTGTCGAGAGGCAGGTATATCCTCTTCCCCATGTCAACAAGGCCAGTGGTCCTTTCATTCTGCTGTCAGTAGGTCCTTTACCATCACAGGAGGTTTTAGATGGGCCTTCGTGTTGAAAGGATACTGCCTTTCACATGCAGTTTGTTTCGTCTCATAGAAATTTTAAAAATTGAGAACCTACAAGGCTTTAGCTCATGAAGGCGCCCCAACTCCCCGCCTCTTTGTTTTTCAAGCAAGGATTTTAAGATTTTATGGGCACGCTCAACAATAGTACAGTTCATGACATAAAATGGTTGATCAGTGGGTCCTAGCAGAACACCTGTTGCAAATTGAGTTCACTAGTCCATGTTTTATTGTGTGTCCTCTACTTTGGGTCCTCTACTCTCAGAACTAAGTAGATACTGTCATATATCCACTGAGTTCCGTTTGATTGGAATCTGATTATTTTCAGACATAGAGTTCATGATTTTAATAATTTTACAAAGGGCTATATGGTACTGTTACAGTCCCTGTAAATGGCTGGCTTCTTCCTTTTGTCTAGATATTTTGCAGACATTTTTGAGAAGGCCGGTTTTTTCAGGAAAATACATAGGTTAAACTAAGCAAGTGAAGATAGGATCCATTCCAGCTGAGGCAGAGAGTGAGAAACACTGCTAATACAGGCATTTTTATGGCACATTTTATATATGTTTGACATAAGCATTCTTTGACATGAAATGTATTCTACAGTACTTCAGAAATGTGTGTTCAGAAATTATTCAAATAAAATTCTAGTGGAAGCTTGGTAAAGAGAAAAAGGCAAAACTAGAAGGTATTTCAATAAGATGTATTTCAATGAGATAAGTAAAAGGTAAATCAGTGATGAACCCTTTTTGCCTGCTCTCTGTGGAACTCAAGACTGTCCTATACTACTCACTCTAATGACATTGTAAATTATATGTGGGGCATCTACCCCAGTGTAAGAAATTTAGAGTAGGGAAAATAACACAGACCACAATCAATACAGAAAATAAAAAGAATAAATCAAGTAGTAAACTTTAGCATTTGCCTAGACATATTTGAGAATCTCAGATGGCTTTGGATAATTCTATTTAGAGTTTATATGGTTTTAACTGTGTCAGTTACTTCACTGTGAGGCACTGAAACAGGTCACTCAGAGAAGCTGGGGATGCCCCATCTCTGGAGGTGTTCAAGGCCGAACTGGATGGAGCTTTGAGCAGCCTGATCTAGTGGAAGGTGTCCCTGTCCATGGCAGAGGTGTTGGGATGAGATGATCTTTAAGTT